TATTTATTATCTCCTACATTTACTTTCCTCAAGTAAACAGTAGATAATCTAGAGCCATTCAGTTTTTTGCAGAATCCTAATGTCCGATCTCTTATTGTTCTTCTGCCTGCATCTTTAGAGGCTTAGAATTTTTATTTATTAAGATTTCTAACAAAGACTGCAATCAAACAGTATGTCCTACTACTGATATTCCAACTTAACCTGTGTTCATACTGATAAATATACAAATTATGATGTATACAAATATATACAATTATTATATGCAAAACAAGATGGAGTATGCATTGTTTCTAAAATGCTTAGCATAAAATGCATGTAAATGAGAAATGATGAGCTAGCTTCAAAAACATGTAACAGGTAACAAGCTAAATGCCAGTTGTGTGAAACCATAAGCCCAGCAAACGAGATGCCAGCTGTAACTGCAACCAGGCAACAAGAACAGTAGAGCTTATGCGAGACAAAGTAGATTACAGAGTTAAAAACTGTGAAAACATAGCTAGGACAAAGGGTTTTTTTTGGGGTGGGTGGGTGGGTATAGACTAAATGCTTTGACAGGATGTTGCACTGACAAGGGGAGAGGGTGATGTGTCTGTGCAAGGGGTATAAGCTGAACTAAAGCTTTGTTCTTTGTTCACTTTTGTTGCACCTGTATTTGCAAATACATTAATAAACTGCTGCTTTCAAGTTGTTGTCTCAGGTAGTTCCATATGTGAACATGTGCTGTTTATAACAATACTCCTCATCCTGGATAAGGCTTCCTCTCACATCATATAGCGCAGGGTGTCAAACTCAATTTCATTGAGGGCCTGCCATGCCCACTTCAGAGCCTGAATCTGCGGGGGAAGACGGAACCTGAGCTGACAGATATTGAGGGGGTGGCTCTGTTGTATTTGGAAGAAAATGGGAAAGGCCAGGGACTTTCAGGATTAGGAGAGATTGTAGGCAGGGAGGAACAGGGGCAGGATGAACATGAGAGACAGAGCTCAGTTTCTTCTTCCGTTTTATATTCTAGTAAATAATTATACACTTTGCTAATCATTTGTTTCCCAGTCCCTTGTACAATTTTGTCTATTTCTTGTTGAGTTCTATAAAAGCCGAATTGTTCCCGATCCTTTTTATACCATGTTTGAATTTGGAAATATGGCCACCATCCATCTGCTTAACTCATTCTTTGCATCCATCATCATGCAAAAAGAAACTATAGCTTAACCCACCAAAAACATAACTGTAAAAGACAGACCAGAAATAAAAGTTAAAATAAGCAAAAAAATAGTAAGAGAACACCTGTCTGATCTTGATGAAAACAAATCGCCGGGACCTGATGGATTACATCCCAGAGTTTTAAAGGAGCTGGCAGAGGTCATCTCAGAACCACTGCACCATATCTTTCAAAAATCCTGGAGCACCGGGGAACTACCAGAGGCCTGGAAAAGAGCTGATGTGGTTCCCATCTTCAAAAAAGGGGAAAAAAACAGACCCAGGAAACTATAGACCAATTAGCCTAACATCAATGTCCGGGAAGATACTGGAAAAGATAATAAAAAAACAGATCTGCCAACATCTAGAAACAAGTAAAGTAATAACTAGCAGTCAGCATGGGTTTGTTAAAAACAGATAATGCCAAACCAATCTTATTTCATTCTTCAACACAGTGACTAAATTAGTAGACCAGCAAAATACTGTGGACATAATATATTTAGATTTCAGCAAGGCATTCGACAAAGTAGACCACAATCTACTTCTTAGTAAGCTAGAAAAAAGTGGAATAGATAGCACCACCACTAGATGGACTTGCAACTGGCTGGCAAACCGTACTCAACAAGTAGTCCTGAATGGGTCTAAGTCTACATTGAGGGAAGTAAGCAGTGGGGTGCCACAAGATTCCGTCTTAGGCCCAGTACTCTTCAATATCTTCATTAACGACAGATGAGGGAATAGAAGGGGAATTTACCAAATTTGCAGATGATACTAAGCTGGCAGGAATAGCTAACACCCAAGAAGATAGGCTCAAGATCCAGATGGATCTTGACAGACTAGAACACTGGGCCATATCTAATAAAATGAAATTCAATATAGAGAAAAGTAAAGTCCTATACTTAGGCAAGAAAAACCAAGTACATATATAAACTGGGTGAAACCAGGCTCAATAGCAGTAACTGTGAGAGGGATCTTGGAGTCTTAGTGGACAACCAACTAAATATGAGCCAGCAGTGTGCAGCAGCAGCCAAAAATGTTAATGCAATCCTAAATTGTATTAACAGAGGGATACAGTCAAGATCACTAATACCACTCTATAAAGCCTTAGCAAGACCACACCTAGAGTACTGCATCCAGTTTTGGTCACCACATTATCACAAAGTTGTTGAGACTCTAGAAAAAGTACAGAGAAGAGCAACCAGGATGATTAGGGGACTAGAGACTAAAACATACAATGAACAGTTGCAGGAACTGGGCTTGGCTAGTCTAGTAAAGAGAAGGACCAGGGGAGACATAATAGAGGTCTTCCAATATTTGAGGGGCTGCCACAGGGAGGATGGGGTCAAGCTATTTTCTAAACGCCTGTAGGCCAGACAAGGAATAATGGATGGAAACTGAACAAGGAGAGATTTAACCTGGAAACAAGGAGAAACTTTCTGACAGTGAGAACAATCAACCAATGGAACAGCTTGCCCTCGGAAGTTGTGGGAGCGCCATCACTTGAGACTTTCAAGAAGAGATTGGACTGCCATTTGTCAGAAATGGTGTAGGGTCTCCCGCTTGGGCGGGGGGTTGGATTAGATGATCTACAAGGTCTCTTCCAACTCTGATTATCTGTTATCTGTGGGCAGTGGAAGGTTACTGCAAAATCCCCATTCCCTCCCCATCCCACCAACCTGCTTTCCAGCTCAGTTCTCTTGTGCAGGGCAACAAAAGGCCCAGTCGATCAGCTGGGACTAGGGAGGCAGGGAATAGGTTGGGGTAGGGCCAGTCAGAGGTAGTATTTCCTGGTTCTCCAAACTACTCAAAATTTCAGCTGCTGGTTCTCCAGAACTGGTCAGAACCTGCTGAATACCACCTCTTGGCTACTTTCTGTTGATGGAAGGCTTTTTGTGCGAAGGCAATAAACTGTCTTCAAAATCACTATAAAAAGACCAGAGACTTGTGAGGCAGGACATAAAGAGGAAACATATTACTTTTAGAGGAATATTGACATGATTCTTCTAGATAGTGAAATGTGTGTATTAGTAAGAGGAAAGATCAGGAAAATGGAAATTGTCAGACCACAGGTTCATCTGTCAGTCACTCATATGTGTCAAGCAGGAAATTTCATTATAGGTAACCGCATATGTCTCGCTTGCAACAAACCACAAGCAAACTGCTGGAAACAGATGTTTTGGCAAGACACCTATGAAGATATTTAGCTACTTTCGCATAGCACAAGGGGCTGTATTTCAAGTAGCCAATGAATGCTGTACAAGTTATATTTCCGTGTTTTGCTGCTTCTGAAAAGTATATACCGTATTTATCGGCGTATAACACGCACAGGCGTATAACACGCATCTTCATTTTAAGAGGGAAATTTCAGGAAAAAAAATTAAATTTCTAAATAAAAACTTTGAAGCAAAATAAGGGTAGCTCAGAACTTTTTTTTTATTAATATTATTACCACTTATAAGGTAAATCAGTGGTCCCCAACCTTTTTTGTACCAGGGACCGGTTTCAAGCAGAAAATTTTTGCAAGGACCGGGGGGGGGGGGGGGGGGGGGGAAGGAAG